ACTGCTGCAACATAAGCAGCCTGGCAGAGGAAAACGGTTTACTATAATTTAGACCATCTAGATTTCATTAAAGATAATTAAGGGAAAATCATACATATAAATTCACAAATCCTTTMTCCTGTTAAGGGAGTTTGCGTTGTAGGGCATCACAATATTTTACCATGCTAATTTCCTTCTCAAGAAAAAAGAAACCTTATATAGCTATCTAGTCATTGGCACTTAAATGCATTAAACTTGAAGCTGCTTAGATTGTGACAACCTTGCCAAGAGAACCATATTTAATGAAAWTATGGGTTCTTTGAGAGATTATTTTTAAGAGATTGGTTTTGAGGGCATCTGCTTTTCAAAAGAGGGGTGAAAGCTATCTGGGGTTGTATCAACAGAACTTCCATTGGAGGATATTCTTCCATAGTAAATGAACACTGAGGTGAACACAAGCATAGCTAGAAATTATGAGTCTACATGATGAACTGAGATATTCCACAGTATTTATAAAAGCCACAACATTACCAAAATTAACTGCCAAAGAATGAATACCAAATTTCCTTCAAATTCCTATACTGCCTATTATAACAACTTAATATTTTAACAAGAAAGAGAAAAAYTATCATGCAGAGAATATTAGTAAATATTGCACTCCAAATATGAATTTTGGAGCTCAGATTTCAGTAGYCAGTTAGAATTCAAAACTCCTAAGTTCAAACATGATCAAAAGAGTTAAAATCCAGATATTCTAAAAWCATCATTAGCATTTGAGATGTTGATCTATTTAAGGCATTCATAGGCTCCTTTAAAGCATGAGCTCAACTAGTAGATATTTTCTTGCTGAACCTAACTCATCCTATTTTCCTTATGAAGAAGCCAATGTCATTCACAGACACAAATTAAAATATTCCAATCAATTTAGATGAAAGTAATCTTAGCATAAGAATACATGGGAAAGAGAATTACCATATGATCCAGTATATATATACCACTTCTGGGTATATATTTAAAAACCACTGAAAGCAGGTTCTCAAGGAGATATTTGTACACTTGTGTTCATAGAAGAATTATGCATAGCCAAAATGTGGAAGCAATCCAAATATCCACTGACAGATGAATGATAAGCAAAATATGGAATATCCATACAATGGAATATTATTCACCCTTTAAAAAGGAGGAAATTATGACTTGTACTACAACATGGATTAACTCTGAGGATATTACACTAAGTGAAGTAAGGCAAATACAAAAACATAAATACTGTGTGATTTCCCTTATGTAATTAACAGAAGTCAAAATCATTTGGATGAAAAGTAGAATGGGAGTTGCCAGCACACAGAGGGAGGCCAGAATTGGGAGTTATTTTTAAATGTGCATAGCATTTTCGTTTGACAAGATTAAAAAGTTGTGGAGATGGATGATTGTGATGGCTGTACAACAGTATGAATGTATTTTATACCATTCAACTAAACATCTAAAAAGGATTAAGATGKTAAATTTTCTGTTGTATTTGACCATAATTAAAATTTGGGAAAAATGACAAAGAGAATATATGAGAGTCTTTTATATTTAGTATACTGATTGACAATTTCTAAAATTTCTTCTAAATCCATAAAAGCAGTTGTAACTTTGGGCAGAATTTTGGAGGCAATCTATGCAAAAATGTTCAGACTACAATGTCTACTCCCAGACATTGGATGGAACTCTTCAGTATCTTAGAGCAGTCTTCATGTTGGTAGTAGTGGTGGTGATAGAAAATTTAGCATAGCTAAGACTTATTGAGTATTTGCTATGTGTCAAACAATGGATTTTACTAGTAGCATGTTATCTATCTCTCAAGACATTAAAATATACGGTAGATAATGTTTCTAGTTTCACAGATGAGGAAACAAAAGAACAGACATGTGACCAGTTCCATACTAAATAATAATTGGTGATGCTCAAAAGAATCCTCTTGACATATCTTTGTCTTTCTCTAGACTGGTTGATCGTTGAGAACAAGTACTTTTCTTATTCATTTAGCCTGTCACTGTGTCGAGCAAACAGTAGACACCCCGTTTACCTTATACAGTAAAAGAAAGACAGGAAATGAGGCCAGGAGGGAGGATGGAAGGAGGAAAGAAAGAAATTATATTTAGGCATGCTATGTTCTCAATAAATGTGGATTGACTTCCTTTATTTCTTTAATCCTGAAGTCACACAGAAACCTGCAATTAGGCTGAGAAATTCTAGGGCTTGGCAGTTTATCTTTGAGATTCCACACAGTTATTCTGGTACAGACCACTGAAGCAGCTGCTAATATTTGTCTGGTTTAATGATAAATATTCTAGCTAATACATATGGTGGCTTAACTGTTAAATTCTCATGTTGAGACTAATATAGTGATACAGCTTAATCAACTACACTAGAATCAGAAGGAAGAAATGATGTCCATGATATTGACTTCTTGCCCACTGGTTTAAATTAAGGGTAAAAGAAAAAGTGTTCCCAGAGGAAAGGTACTTCCAAGCATAAAAGTGCTCATGATTATCATCAGTCAATGGTAGAAAAATTTTTGAAGCCTTAACAAGATGTTTACCTACAGTAGTTATTGCCTCATTTTGCAACATGGGCCATTCTTAGGAGAGTGAATCACGCTACCAAAATGGAACTCTAGAAGTGCCTATCTAAAGCAGGTCTTAATGGTTCTCTTTGAATTTACCTTTGTATGACTTTATGTATTTATAGTTGGAATTTGGTGTATAATTAGAAACCATAATTATAAATATGTATACAGTAAATAAAGGATACATTATTTCTGTTTAGTGAAACAGCTACAAATGTTTAATATGTTCTGATCTTACCTAATCGAGAGAGTCAACACGGATTTTATTTTTTGTGTTTTAGTAGGACAGAGATAAGGAGAGGAAGAAAGCAGAGTGAGTGTTCAGGAAGGTTAGGGCATTAGTCACATAACACAGAAGATTTGTTTATCCCTATGCTGCAAAGAGTTTCCAAGGTGACAAGTAACTTAACCATTAAGGCCTCAGCCTTGTGTGTATAATAGGGATAATAAAAAGGCTTTTCTCATTCTGAGTAAAAATGAATAAAAAGCAAATATTATTATTCTAATTCTTTATAAAAATAACAAAGGATCAATTCTGATATATTAATGTCTCATTTTAATAAYAGGATTTATCAGTATTTTCATCTCTATCTATCCACCAGTATAAAAACYAAAGTAAGTCCATCAAGGCTTATCCAAAATGTATAACAAATAATAAGTTTYTAGGACACTATCCCTCTATTTCTAATAGAACAGCAGAAATGTTTTATTCATATATGCATTCATTCAACATTTATTTACCAACTACTATGTTCAAGGCATTGCATTAAGGGACTATGGCCAATACTCTTTACTTTTGTATCTCTATTCTTACTTCCAAAGAGGTTAAATTCATATCATGGTTATTTATTAAAAGAATTCTAAATGGATCAATGAAAGTAAAAAAAAATATCAGCTTCAAGAAAGATTTCTGTTACTAAATGTTGATAGGAAACTGTTAGTGTTTTATAATAGGTTAAGGAAAATAATGCAAACTGTCTGAACAAGTTTTTGCTATCTGGAATATAGGACTACTGAATAAATTTACTAAGTATTTCATTTATAGAATTTTATCTAGCTAGTATAAAATGTGGCCTACAATAGCTTGCCTGTGTTGAAAATACAGATATTTGTCAGAAGATACAAAAAAAATTAACAAATAATAACAATCTCACCACTAGTAACACTTAGGAAAAATACCAGGTATCTAGCATTTGATCCAAGGATAATATCCAATTCTCAAAATCTGCATCTGGATTTTTAGCCCCTTTTCTAGGACTGCTGTTTAATTTCACTTTATTTCTCCCTCACTTCTGCCCCAAATGCAATAGAGACATGCACAAATCAAGAAATCATCTTACAATATACCCTTAAATTTTCTGAATATTCCCCATGTGTCCACTAATATCCAAATGCTTTCAAATCTGTTCAGCTAAATGGATCAATAACTACATCCAGCCTCACATAGTGGGGCTGCCAACATRATGAAATCGAGCCAAACACAAAATGTCTCTACCAGGACAAAGATTATTATCAACACAGTCATCACAGTTATCTGGAGAGATCTAGTCTCCCAGGTATGCTTTGAAGATGCCAATATACACATTATCTAGGGCAGGGCAGTCATGTATATATGACTATACACACACACACACACACACACACACACACACACACAGGATTCGGAGGAAATATTTTGGAAGCCCAAATTAGTGAGTTTTAAAATAAATGAATGTACTAGTTCAAGGTCTACATCAAGGAAGTATCTTTCAAAATCATAGTACAAAAATACAAATACATAACAGCAGAATCAAACTGCTAACAAGCTTCTCTGTGCACTTACTCATCTGACACAGCTGCAAGCAACAATTGAGCAGGTGCAACCAAGCTTTTGAGAATTCCTGCCTGTTGCCCAGGAACCACAACACCGCACGGTTAAGATTTTAAACAGGTGCAAACATTTTTTTCCCATTTGTCTAGTGCTTGAGACAGTGCAGCAGACAGTACATCTGCAACCACTCCTTACCTAAAGCAACCCCCATGGAAAATGAATTTGAAAACAGCAAAAAAGTTTGAAAAACAATAATGTCAAAAACACAGTAGTTCTGTAACAGTCTGTTCCCACATCATCAGTTGCTTTAATAGTTCAGTTCCATAAAATACTATCTAATCTTCAAAGATGAAAGCTTTGTAATTAAAATTATTCTGCCTCATCAAATTTTATAAATGTTTATTTGATTCTTACAATAAAATGAAATACAACATATGTATGAAATATAATGTTCTTTGAAGCTGTGAATATCTGTAAGTAGAATATTAAAAAATTAACATTTTCATATTAGGAAATCTGTAAGAATTTTAATAAACAAAATGTAGTAATTTTTCAGTTAATACACAGATTTACTTAGTTATAGGTAAATCATATACATACCTGCTATGGGACACAACAGACTTGCAATTTATCTGGTACTCTGAAATGCAAAACAAATATGTCATATAAGTAAAATTAAATTACTGAGTCACATCTAGTATCTTTGTTGAGACAATTTATGCAGAAAAGTAGGAAAGACTGCAGTGAATAGAAAAGGTAAATTATATATGTATATATATATTTCTCATCAGATACTTCAGATCATACTAAATTCATGTGTGTGAATACACACAAATACATATAGCCTCTTAGAAATGTTATCAAAAACAGGCACCAGCAAGGGACTGAGACTCACCATGGCCTCTGAAACGCAAATGCTTTCACTAGAGGACGAGGCAAACACTTAAAAATGATTTTTTTTTTTGGTATTCATCCAAGACTATTGCCTTCCTAATACAAATATGACTGCTGCTCTCTAAAATGAAACTACTCTGACTCATTTGCTCTCAGTTTGGCTAGAATATTGGTACGGAATGAAGGTGCTTTTGTACAGCAGTCCACACACAAAAAAAAATGCATAAATAAACATAAGTAAATTTTGAATGCTCATTAAAATTGTTACAACAGAGAAGAGAAATGAGACTGATTGATACAAGAAGGAATGTTAACACTACATCAGATATAATGCCTAATGCCTCAACCCAAAACACTGACTGACAAAACTTCCAGTGAAGTAGTTATCAATATAGAAAACTAAGTCCAGTTTAAACAAAAGTATGTAGTTTATAATCAGAACCAAAAAATAATTTGGTTTAGGAGGAAACCATTGTAAGCTGCAGCCTCCAAACTGAATTCTCTAAAGCAAGAATTCCATAATTCTTTCTGAAAGCAAAATACAGTATTTAATTTATATATTTCTGAGTATAGTTGTCAAGAACAACATATTAAAGTGAGTATTTCTACTTGACAACACTTGCTTWAAAGTACAGATAGATAAATGATTTTGACACTGGCTTAATGAAATAGCATCATATATACTTCCAATGATAGTGCAAATTGTAAGTTTCTAGAAAGTATATACATATCAAGACCTCAAAGTTCAAAATTTTCACTCAGTAATTTTAGTTCCAGGAATCTATCTTATGTAATATAAAAACAATAGAAATATCTATAAAATGATAATTTTATGATAGGGTATTAATTGCATAGACAGTATGAAATTATGTAGATTAAAAAATTAAAAACACAAATACTAAGGGTGATTATATCTGGATGATAGAATTATGGGTGTTTAAATTTTTTCTTTTTATTTTCATATACAGTTAATTACTTTTATCATAGGAAAATATAAGTTGGAAAGTTAAGGGTAAAAGATAAACTTATAAAGTGCCATATGGAAATCATAAATCTAACCTTCCTAAGAGAAATAAATTAATTCAATCACACATAAAATCCACTAGGTGTACCTACAGTGAGAAACACACTCTCATTGCTTCCTCATAGGGGTATATTCAGGTTCTTTTTTATCCCACTGCTTTAGAATCTACACCAGTAATTCAATAACACATTTTTAATCATCTCAGTAAAACTTCTTAATTATGCAGAGTGAAATGATGGCAAGAACAATTTAGGACTGCAAATCTGTTCAATCTAGTACAGACTAATTTATTCACCAAGCCAACAACATTCAATGAGCATCTACTATGTGTAAGGTCAAGTTTGGCACTGTGATACACTAAAAGATAAATTAGGATACAACTTATCTTCATCATGTTAGCAATTTAAAAGTGTTAAAAATATGAAGAGATAAACATAATACAGTTCAGGGAATTTGTGAAAGATCTGATATGTTTTAAAGCAAGAAAATACATGTCAGGTTTATTCTTTTATTTAAGATTGGACAAAAACTTATATTTAGGTAACACTGAAAAAAGATTCAGACTTATTAGTCTGTATCACTTATACAATATACTGGTAAATTATTTTAAATACTTAAGCTTTTCTTTATGTGATTTAGTTTTTGTTAGTGGAAATATAATAAAAAAGAAGGTTAAGTATAAAGGAATATTGATCCCATCTAGGATGCCAGAAATGTAAGATTGTCTCAAATATACACAGCCACATAAAACACATGCACAATTATTAACAGACTACAGTTATTTATTGGCAACAAAAGTAGATAAATTAGTTACTTGTTAATCCTGTATAAAGACACTGTTATGACAACACTACCAGTTAGACAAAAGGAGATATGGCAAACCCCTTTGGTTGTGCAGATAAATTGATACAGCATACAGATTCAATAGCAGGTCTATTCTTTGTGATCTATAGCCATAATCTTTGCCCTTCTGAAGTCAGTGCCACAAGATGGTTGTGAGGTTGAGGTCCACAAGGTCAGCCTGTGTGAAGTGGTGACAAGCACTAAGAAAACCTATTCATGTGATCAGTGACCCATAGACCAGGCTCTTTGAGTTCTAGGCAGCCGTAGTTATGATGTAGGGTAACAGTTAAATGCTTAGCTTTTGCCATCAGACAATTCTAAAATAGAAGTTCAGCTGCTCCTCTTCAATTTCTGATCTTGAACAAGTTATATTTTCCCTGTCTATAAACCATGATCATGTTACCTACCCTACAGGGTTGTTTTTGCAGAGATCAGGGTCATAAGAATGTAAAAGAATTAGAACAGTTCCAGCCATTAAAAAAGAATTTATGAAAAAATAATTATGATCACATTAAGCTGAGAGGATAAACTAATCAGGTGGTAAGAAAATAAAAACTGCTTGCTCACAGTATCATCCAGTACCTCATCCAAGCACCAGTCCTGTACTGGCTGTTCACAGGACATGTCTGAATCAAGAAGCACTCCACAACAAAGGTAACAGCCCCCATTAAGAACTCTAACTTTAAAGTATTTTTAAGCACCATTCCCATCACTAGGCAGTAGGATCTAAATAATATGTGTAGTTATATTGACTGACTTTTCTGGATGAAAATGAAGGATCATTAGAAAATATTTAAATATTTCCTAATTTACAGAAACAATCAGAAAAAGGAAAGTAAGGAGAAATAGATGTAATTACTCAACAAATTCAGACCAAGGTGTCATGGGCTCCTTAGCAATCACATGTACACAATATCATTTTTCTATGTATTCTAAAAGGACCTGAAAATGACTGGAGTTCCCACATAATATAAGTTTGCAAATACAGTGAAGGATACTACAGTCAGTTTTTCTCCTATGGCTTGTAAGACAGAAACAGATATACACTGATTTTTTTTCTATATTTCATTTCTGTTTTGATCTGAAGGACAGCAGAAATTCCAAGTTGTTAAATGATATGTCTTCAGATTCTCAAACAGATTATTAATACCTAGAGGTGTTTTGGTCATGTGGGATGAAGTTACTATCAGTACCATTATACATGGAGATATCCGATCCTATGGAATGTTTGTTGTTTTTGTTTGAAGACTAAAAAACACTTCCCCACGACTAATGAGCATCCTAAGGAACATTTTTTTKGGGGGGTGGTACCAGGGATTGACCCCAGAGGAACTTAACCAGTGAGTCACATCCCATTCCTTTTTAATATTTTATTTAGAGGCAAGGTCTTGCTGAGTTGCTCAGGGCCTCCCTAAGTTGCTGAGGCTGACTTTGAACTCATGATCCTCCAGCCTTTTAAGAAAAGCCTGTGATRCAATGTAATATTATTATTATTTGTTGTTGTTATTATTATAGTTTTTATATTATTGACTTTAATCATGAATAAAGCCAATTTTATTTTTGAAAACTGAGTTGTCGTAACTGCTGTAATTTATTTGAACAAAAAGTACTATAAAGAATAAGAGGGAGCTGGGGTTGTAGTTCAGTGGTAGAGCTCTTGCCTAGCATGGATGAGACACTGGGTTCAAATCACAGCACCATATAAATAAATAAATAAATAAAGGTGAATTCTTTTAAAAGGGAGTAAGAAGAATTATAATTTTTAATGTAGTCTTGAAAGACTAGTTAATTATGATTTTTATGTAAATTACTGAGTTAGAATAGCCCTTTTGTGCTTAAAAACTATCAGTTTATCAAAAAGAGGAAAATGAAAAGCAACAGTTATCTATTTATCAACACTGTGAACTGGAAACAAATAAAGGGCAATAAGTAAAAAACAAAATTCGTAACAACAGTCACCGGTTAGCAAAGGCATGATTTGTCTATCCAGATAAATCACAATAAAGCTATAAAATGTATGAAAACCAAAATTGATATTTTTTAAAATGTGCTAAATTTGAATTTTCTAATATTGATGGCCACTACAGTAAAACAATTTAATATAAAATTTTATGTGTAACGTTAAGAATTTGCACTCTTATCTAGAAAACTTGAGTACAATACAATGGATGCTTTGTTTAATAATCAACACTTCACAATGTATTAAGAAGGAAATCAATGTTGTTTCTATAGATGATTTTGTTCAAACTTATCAATGAACATTTAAGAGCTACTTAAATGAACATTTAAGAGCTACTAAGTAAAATGACCAAAACCAAAATTTATGTTAAGAGTTTTATTTTCAAAATACTGTCAAATTGAATTATGATTATTGAAATGAATTATTCCCAAGAAATGTGAACATGTCTACTTGTACATAAACCTGTGGTCTTAGTTTATATGCTACCTTTTCCAAAATCTGATTTCTATTCTTAAACTTGTACTAATAATCATCACATTGCATTGTAATTGTCTTTCACAGAGTCTATAAACTCGAGGACAAGGGTTTTGTCTTATTCACCTTTACATTTTATTCCTTAACATAATATCTGATGTGCAGTAGGTATTCCTTAAATATTGGTCAGAGGAATCCTGAGTGAATTATGTTGCCATCTATTCTTGATGATTAAGAAAATTCACATTGCATAAAAAATTAAGCAATCACATTCCTAAACAAACTCCTTCCAATCCTTAAAGGACTAAATTTCCAGTTTCTTTTCTTGTGCATTTTCCTCCTGCTTTTCATCTTTAAAAGTTCAAATCTCAATTTTCAGAATCTGTGTCCAAATGTTCACACCAGGTGAGAAAACCTAATTGACTTGTGCCCACAATGGGCAAAC